TACACCTACAAAACGCCAGCTGCTGATCCTTTCAGGTGTTTCTGCAACTACCCTTGTTTTAATACCTGCACAGTTTCACCCTCAGCAATTCCCCAGCACAGACATAAAACAGCACCGTTAGTACTCAGAGGAAAGATTTCTGTTTCTGATGGATGAATTTCTACCCCAAGTTTGATTTTAGTGGGGAATTTTTGTATTTGATTTTTACTCTGGGGTTGGGGAGGGAGGTGAAGGGGGTGATAATTAAATTAGAGCCAGCAAGCTGAAAATTATGTGCACGCATGCATAATCAAGCCTTTTAACAACATTTCTTCCAACAATAATCAACAATCCAAACAGATGATAGAAAACTATTTTTGATTCTCTTGCCCTTTTGATAAAGACTGAAATTTTTTGAAAGCAAAAAGGCACAGTTTTTATTAGGCATATACCACATTTCCTAACAAATAAAATAAAATAAAATAAAATAAAACAAAATAAAACAATAATATTCTCTCAAGTAAATTACACAGGCTGTCAAAAGTCAGATAGCTCTGAAACTGAGCCCTTTAATCTGGTTCTGCAAACTTGGAGCCTGGATCTTTCATTCATGCAAACAGGCAAATTCCCCATGAAGTGAGTTATGCCAGTTCCTGTCAGCTCCCAGAACCTCAGCTTTGGGATTACAGAAATGTTTAATTTTTTTTGAGGGGACAGGGGAGATGGAATAGCAAGTCCACAGCCGTGGGCCTGTCTATATATTAATGTCATGCTGTTTTGCCATTGAAGGTCTAGCTTCGAGACTGCAGATCTGTCAGTGACCAAACTTGATGGACCACCCATTGGCCTTTTATTAAACAGCACTTGTTCCTCCTCTAATCCTATCACCAGAGTAATCAAAGCTGCCATGTCCCAGGGTTTGATGGAACAGCAGGACCTGGGAAATGAAGACTGATTTTGTTAACAAAGTAATTTCTGCCCCTTGAATGCTGTCTCATTGGTAGAAAGTAGGGAGACAAGGTTTATTTGTGCAGAGAATGAGGCGGCAAAGAAATGAAAGGGGAAGAATGGTGAAGTGTGAAGTTTAATCTGGCACAGTCTAAGGTTTCTTTCTTTGAGGCAGTCTCTGATCCAATCAACACCGGTTTGATATTTAACATCTCCCCCTGCAGTTTGAAATGATACCAGCCAGAGAACACTCAGTCACAGCTTAGAAAACCCTGACCAGAGGAAGAGAAAAGGGGCTGCTCATGGCTCCCCTTTGGCCTAACAACTTCCCTGACAGATTGGTCAGGATAAAGTCAGATCCCTACACCAAATTCCCCTTACAAAGCTTGGGATTAAGGGCATCTGGCACGGCTGCATGCAGATTCTCCCTGCAGTGAGAAGTGTGATGGGACGGGAGGAAGGTTTTATTTTCAACTTTGGGGAAGGGACACGTACACCTTTACTTTCTCAGTTTGGGAACCCGGCTGAGAGGTAGGCCTGAGCTGTGAAACAAGAACTACACACAGCTCCCCAGGGCCGAGCAGTTTGTGTGGAGCTGCTGCTGGCCTCGCGGGCTTATGGTGGGGATGAGCTGTGGCCCGAGGACAGACACGGCCAGGGTGATGAGCAGGAGCTCCCCACAGCACTCACAGCCCAGTGCCTGCCCTCTGCAACGGGACGGGGCTGTCAGAGGACACTGAGCAGCTGCAGCAGTTACCTTCAGCATCCCCCTGGCCCAAAAAGTATATTTCAGTCTGGGGAGAGGGTCCTAGAGAGGAGGTGAAAGCCCTCTCCTACCTAGGCCTTGTAGGATGCATGGGCCAGCCCGCGTGGCCAGAATCCCAAACAGACAAGGCCTGGAACTCCCTCTGTCCTCTATGAGCTCTTCTCTGTCCTGGGACATTTGATGTTGCACTTTTCTGGTCACTCTGTAAATAAACGTCTGTCTTGTCAGATAGAAAAGTTGTCTGCTGCTTCTTCTCTGTGCGTTTTTCAGCTTTTTCTGTCTTGCCTTCAGTGATACCCTGAATCTATTTAAACCAAGGACCTGTGAAACTTCAACCTGGCCTAAATCTGATCTGAATTCCCTTGTTGTCAGGCTCCCATCCCAGCCCTTAGCTATGCCTTAGAAGCCCTGCCACCAGCTATTTAAGACCTAGGGCCCACACATGGATTTTGTGTCCCCAGCGGCTGCCAGAGCCACAGGAGAAGCAAGGATGCTCCGAGAGCTGTGCAGCCAGGCGGTGGGAAGGCAGGGCAAAGGAGTGGAGCTGGGAAAGCTGCACAAAACACTGACCAGAAATTCCAGGGCAAACAGGGTCTCAAACTACAAAGTTTTTGAGCTTACAATAAAAAAAAAAAAATGCACCACACAACAAAACAATGTGCTGTGCTCTTACCTGCAAGAGCTAGCTCTCCAGGAAGCAGCCAATTATATGAGCCACCTTAATCTTTTCATCCGGCTAAGACAATCAACATTTCAAAGTGACGCACAGAACGTTTCAAAGATCGTTCTTGGTCAAAAATGCAAGTGTATCCGCTTTCTTTCAGAGCAGATCAAAACCAAGTACCACACCGGGACCACTCCTAGATTTCCTCCTCCTCACGGTATCAGATTAACAGATTTGGTGCATGTAGTCAGATTAAATATTTGCAGTAGCACAAAGCTGCCTTTGAGGGGAAGTAAAAAAAGCCTTTTTCTTTTTTAATTTGCTGAGGGCAAAAATACTGGACTTTGGGGACAGAGGGAACAAAAGCATTGACATGATTCAGCGAGGCGCAGTTTGAAAACCTGAACTCCAAATGCTGGAATTACATGCAGTATTCCTGTAACAGTAATGCTGAAAACAGGTAAAAACTGCTGATGCCCTTAGCAGATTCGGGACTGTAATTTATCACAGATGTTCTCATCAAACTGTGCAAACACCCCACAAGACAAAAGCTGCTCAATTTCTGATTTCCATTTTAGTGTGGTTTAATTATGTGTTGCTTAAGGAAGGCTCTAAGACCTGGAATTAGGAGGTGAAACCTAGCTATAGTAATCCACTCCACTAAATTAGCACAGAAATACACCAAGCAGTAGGACTGCCAGACGGTGTGATAACATTACAAATTACTATTGTTAAACAACTAGCCAGGTGTCAGGATGCATGAAATCTAGAGGAAGCAAGAAAATAAATATCTGGTTTGTTTTATTTAATTTTGTCTCATGTTGTTCTGGTGGCCTCGTTCCCAGAAAAAGCTTCAATCTAGGAAAAATCCTCATGTACACTGATGTGTATAAGTAGTAATATCAGTTCTCTGCAATAATTAAAATGTATTTTTTAATCAACTCAAACTTCCTGTAGGAATGATTGTCCTTTACTTGCCTATGGCGGTAACACTGTTCTTTTTTTAGTTTACTTTTGTAGCAAAATGAAGGGGAAATTTTTGCTACTATTTAGAGGGTAGTGACTGAGCTAAAACCAGACTTAGGGTAAGCACAGCAGTGAGTTTTGTGCTCTGTCCCTTTTCCTGTCTCTCTCACTCCTTCTCTCTCTCTCGAAAAAGAAAAAGAATGCAATATGATTCATATTTAAAAGGCTTCCAAGAGGTACGTCTTTAACCAAGTGCTTGCACATGCTCGATTCTAACTTCCATGTTTGACCTAATACAACCAAATGCTACTAGAGCTCTGCAATGATTAATTATTTTTACCTCACCTTAAAGAAGCGGTTCAATAGCAAGGACAGGCACTTAAGCACTTTGAAAAGAAGAAGGAAAAGCAAATTCCATGTTTTTCATGTATCTTAGCTAATGAAAATGTCCAGGGGGCTTTTAATTTTTATTATTTCTGTTGAAAAACAACCCTTCCCCCCCAAAAAAAAAGTGTATATGACCAATCTTCTCCTGTGAAGTCTGAATGCAGAGTTAGTCTTCTAGCGGAAGACATCAGATGAACCAACTCTTAGAGAAAGCTAGACTTTTTGCTCTTAAGACAGCTCCCACTAGACTTCAGGGAAGAAAGGGCTGAACACACTCCAAGGACATTTTAATCACACCAAAGATCAGTGCTTTAATCCTTACTCACACATCACCAAGAATTTTTTTGCTAAAACTAGGACAGTAAGGTACAGCTGGAAATAACTGATCTAAAATTAATGCCGAAAAGAAGGTTAAAAATGAAATATCGTAGCAGTAACTGACACCGTCTTAAATTTCCCCTGGATTATTTGTTTTCTTCCACACACATTCATTTCCTGAATTTCTAGTAAATCTGATTTCACATAAACAGTTTCACAAAGCAAAGTCAATAGCTGTGACTGTGTTCCTGATTAATCCACTGAAATGAAATAGACCTCATGGCTTAGTATTTGGTTGTTTAAAGCTAAATCCACTGAAAGAATTCTGGAGTTCAGTTACACCAATAACTTTTTTTTCTTAATCTACATCCTTTTCTTTTTTCTGAACTTTACCTGTTCTAAAATGAAAACAAAATCCATGCAGATTACACACTTAATTTCCCCCAGACCATGAGGACAACTAGAGCCAGTTTGTTTTGACCCAGAGTAACTACTAAAAGACGACCAACAGTTTGCACATACTTAAATCTATTTGAACAATGTTGAATTTCTCTTTTCATTGTTCATGCTTTATCCCCTTCGTGACAAGTACCACAGAGCTGCTTTATTTAAAAACAAACAAACAAAAAAGCACTTTTTACCCAGCTCCAGAAACTGACCAGAGGCGTTTAAGTTTCCTTCACAAGTGACAAGCCAGCAGACACACACATTCACACCCTGGACATTTGCCTCTCAAATAAATAATACACATGATAAACTCATAGTGCTCACTGTGCACATCACAGTTGTTTTTCTTCACACAGCATGGACCAGTGTGATGGAACAGACAGACCAGTGCAAAGGCCGCTGAAGCCTTCGAGCATCCCTCCCCACCGCAACAGGCTTCAATTTCGCTATGGTAAACTGACTAAAATTTGAGGAGAATGGCTCCCAGCTCCTGGGATAAGCCACGAGGCCCAGCAGCCTCCTTACCTGGGAGAAGTTGAGCCCGTTCAGCGGGTGACACTGCTCCTCCACCCTCTCCACCGCACCCGTCGTCTTCTTCATCCTCTCGGCCTCCTGGGCGAGGTAGAGATCGAGCACCGGCACCCCTCTGGAGCGGATGTCGGTCTCCGTCAAGGAGTTCACCATGAGCATCACCCAGACGGGCCTCTTGCGCTCCCAGTTGCCGGCGATGGCGTTGAAGAGGTAGTCGGCGTAGAGCCCTTTGCCCCGCTGGTCCGGGGTCATCCAGTGGGGCAGCATCAGCTTGATGTAGTCCAGGTGGCGCTTGAGGCGGCGGTAGAGCTCGCGGGGCAGCACGTCCTGCAGGTTCTCCCCGTGGGGCAGCATCTGGCAGCTGGCCAGCCCCGAGATGGTGTAGGGGTCGGTGAGGTCCAGCTCGAAGTAGACGCTGGAGCTGGCCTGGAAGGCGGCCTTGGAGTTGTCGGGGATGAAGTCCCACACCCGCGTGTAGGGCACGTGGATGGTGCCGAAGAGATAGGCGGGGGGGTCGCGGCGGATGGTCCAGAGGAAGGAGTTGAGCTCTCCTTGCTGGCAGGAGGAAAGCAGGGGACGGACGGTCAGTGCCGGTGGCAGCCACCCACGGGCAAACCATCACGGGTGGCCCGTGGGGACAGAGCAGTGTAGGGGGGGGGCACCCTCCAACACACCCCACAGCACAGCTCCCAGCAAGCAGACAACCACGGCGAGCACACAACCACTGCGCAGCCCCACGCGGGGACCCCCACGGGGACCCTCGGGTGCCGCAGGCAGCAGCGTGGCGACAACCGGGGTGTCCCCCCCTTCTCCCTTCTCCCTCCCCCTGGCCGCTGCCGCGCTCCCGTGCCGGGGGTCCCGCGGGGGCAGCGCCACACCTGCGGGGCCACGCGTGTCCCCCCCGGCCCCGCTCGCCCCCCGCTCCGCGCCCCCCTCGCCCTCCCGGCGCCGGCTCCCCCCGCGCATCCCCCAGCCCGGCCCGGCCCAGGCCCGGCTCGGCTCGGCTCGGCTCGGCTCACCGAGCGGGGCAGGTCGCACTGCCCCGTGTCCATCTGCTCCCGCCGGGCCGCGGCGTCGGGCAGGAACCCCCCGAAGACGAAGCAGATCAGCGTCAGGTTGAGTTGCATCCCGCTTCCTCTCGCTCTCCTCCTCTCTCTCTCCTTTCCCAGATGAGCCTTTTTGGATTTCTAGGATCTTTTTTTTTTTTTTTCCCTCCCCCTCCTCCTGCTCTTCCCCCTTTTTTTTTTTTTTGGCTTTTTTTTTTTTTTTTTTTTTTTTTTATTCAAACAAACTTTGCCAGTCCCATCTGCATCTGACAAGTGCAGGGGGAAGGACTGGCCGCCCCCTCCCTCCCATGCTCTCCCCCCTCCCGCCCTCTCCCACCCCCACCCGCGCTGGCTGCGGGCTTGTCAGAGCCGCTGGATGCTCGGGGCAGGACGCTTCTCATCGCCAGCCTCCGCCATGCTTTGATTTTTGCAGACCGGAGAAGCTCCCTTCCCTCCCCGCCGGTTCGGGAGGAGGTTTGGAAGGGAGCGTGGTGGAGGGGAGAGAAATAGCTCCAAAAAAATAATAAAAAAAAAAATCTTTTTTTTTTTTTTTTTTCTAAATTTCGGCGGAGAAGAAGAGAAGCTCCCGCGGAGCCCCGGGACCCAGCGGGTGCTGCACACCGCGCCGGGGAGGCCGAGCTCGGGCTCCGCTGCAAAGTTTCGCGCAGCCGCCCCGGGCCGCCCCGCGCCTCCCGCTGCCGCCGCGGCCGGGACGGGGCCGGGACCGGGGCCGCCGCCAGGGGGCGATCGCGCCCCAGCGCAGCGGCGGCTGGGACCGGGCTGAGGGCGGCGACCCCTGGGCTGCGGCGGCACCTGCGTGGCGCTGGGCTCAGAGTCTCCATGGAGGCACTCGGGGGTGTTCTGGCGCTGCCGCCCCGCAAAATGTCCCCGAAGTGCTCAAACAAGGGGGCTGGCTCCTGAGAGCTCGGCGCTGAGGGGTTGGGGTGCGCGCTCCTCGTGGGTGCTGCCCTCCTCATGGAGCCTCTCACAGCAGGGGCAGCAAAGCCTGGATGAGGTCGTGGTGGAGGGCAGGTCAAGAGCATGGGCACCACACTGGAGCTGGCCTCAGCCATCTCCACTGCCATCACCACCCTGGGCATCCGCTGTCGCCTCAGTAGCTCAGGAGGGCTCAAGAAAACCCCTCTGAAGGGTGCTTGGGTGGTTAGATATAAAATCATAGAATCATTAAGGTTGGAAAAGACCTCCAAGATCATCTGGTCCAACCATCCCTCTACCACCAATATCACCCACTAAACCATGACCCTAAAGCACCAGGTCGAATGTTTCCTTGAACACTCCCAGGGGCGGTGACTCCACCACCTCCCTGGGCAACCTGTTCCAATGCCTGACTACTTTTTCTGAGAATAAATTTATCCAAATTTCCAACCTAAACCTCCTCTGGTGCAACTTGAGGTCGTTCCCTCTAGTGCTATCACTGGTGATCTGCCCCGCTCCCAGTCACGCCTCAGGAGAAAGTGCCCTTCTCCTGGCTGGTCCTTGCTGACTGGGGCACATCCGTGACCACTGAGCCTGGAACTTTCTTTGGAGGTCGCTGCCACAGGTGCTCGAGTCTGTCAGCTGCACCTCGAGCCTCCTCCCGAATGCCCATCTCTGTTAAAGCTGTGACGGATTTCTGAGGCGAGGACAGGCTGACGATGGCTGGCGGCCACTGCTTGCAGGATCTGCCTCAGCAGCGTCTTCTCAGGGCGCTGCACACTGCAGAGATGGGATCCCAGCCTGTCCACCACCTCCGGGACTAAAACCTTCCCCAAACTGGGATGTTCCTTGCTGTATTGAGAACAATCAAAGCCACCAGCTTTCCTTTTATGAAAAGTATTAATTGCTGGTACAAGGCAGGGCCCTTGCTGTGGCAAAACTCAGGGCAAAGTCGGGAGGGATTCTGCCAAGGCCTGGCTGGCTGAGACGCGGCTTCCTGAACAGTGTGAGAGGCACAGCGAGGGCTGGGGCTGCCGTAAACAGCCACAGCCACAGGCAGCCATGAGGAGAGGCTTTTGCAGCACCTCATGTGCATCGCCACAACTTCTGCTCTTGGGCTCCAGAAGCTCAGGAGCACGCTTGTAACTACAGGTGTCGGCACGGCTGAAATGTGGACTCGCATCTGCTTCTCCCTCTGCCTCTTCACTGTGGCATGGAGTCCAGCAAGGCCATCTTGTCAGCAGCAAGCTCACACCTGCACCACTCGCCCTGGGGCCTTTGGGCCCCCCCAGTTCGTGCTGCTGACGATGACTCAGGCCCGGCTGGATGTGCCCACGCCATGACTCTCTCCTGCAGCCCCACCTTTCTCCCAAATGTGCCTCAGCGCTTGCCTCCAGCCCACCCAGGGGTGTGCAGGGTGCTGGGTGGTCACCTGTACCTGGCCAAGCCCCCAGCTCAGATGATGTCTGGATGAATCCGCGTCCCAGCAGATGTGGTGTCGCAAGGGCTAAAAGTCCAGTCACAACACAGTACACAGTTTATCCCTAGAAAGCTGCTCACAAGCCTGTTAGAAGCTATAAGCTCGATGCTGTCATGATACTATAGCACTGGGGGGCTGCTGCACGTGTTCACAGCAGCTTCCCATGGGACACGGGTGCTTTTGTCTGGCTGTGTGGCCTTGACTTGGTCGTCCCCTTTCGGGCTCCTTCCCAAACCTCTTCCAAAGCTATGGAAGCACAAAGGGGCCTCATCAGAAATCTGGCAGGAACACCTCCAGTGACGTGACCCAACATCTCACACGCCGGAGAAGACGCCCAAGAGGTCTGTAAGGCGATGCGAGGCCCTGTTCAGTCGTGGGTGCCGCGTTGTGAGGTAGGGCGATTACCCTCATCAATGACATACATATCAAAGCACCCAGGGCAAGAATAAACAAACATCTTTGGCACTGTGCTCATCTTCCTTTAGCCAAAAGGCAGGTGTGGGGGGGTACAGCAAGTTTTCCAGCCATTTCCCTGAACTCAGCCCTGATGTTGCAAGAACTGCCTAGCTGTGAAAACACAGCCTCGCCTTGATTTATGCTGCTTGTGGGTAAGATGACTAAGAAGAAGAAGGAAAAAAAAAAAAAAAAAAAAGGAACAGGAGCAGAAATCCCAGTGGGAGCGCGATGTGGGTGTGTACCGATTTGGTGGGACAGTCAGGTTGGGGAAACTCCAGCCAGAGCTTCAAGCATTAGGAAGTAGAGACCACAAACCACATGATATGTATCACAATGTTCAACCAAAGATTCAAAAGCATGCCACAAGCTTTTATGAAGATAACACTTTGGTAACAGCAAGGGAAATTAATTCTTTTGTGTAATTGTTACATTTTTTTTCTCCCTCAGATGAGTTCCATATGTCCTCTTGATTTTTTTTTTCTTTAAACACAGCAGTTTAGAACGAATCTTAAGTAACGTTTAGCCTGCTTCTAAAGTAAATATTTACAAAAACATTAAATAATGGTTCTGATCTTTGGAAAATGGATACTGCTGTCTACCTGCTACTGTTTTGTTCCTATATGGAGTAAGGGAGAACCTTTGTAATAAACCCCAAGGCTGTAAAAGCAGTACAACAATGTGATTAGCAGTAATCAGATGGGAAATACTGACTATTAAAAACTGTGAAGAGATAAGAGGGATAAACTGCAAAGGGAAGGTTACGTTATTTTGTTTTTACAAATTTCAAGAAATCTAATGGGGGAATAGGCTTTTAATCTTACAAAAGCAGTATTGTTTTTTGGAAGCATAATAGCGTTGGCTGATATTTATGTCATGTATCATCTTCAAAGAGCTTTCCTAAATAAATATTAATCATTTCACCAGCCACTTAAAGGCAACCACTTCAGGGGTGCGGTGAGGCAGCAACTTAACAAGTAAGTTGTACTGAGACAGGAAGCGAGGACAGCCAGATTCAATAAGGAGCCCGTGTGGGTACAAAAAAATATTTGTGGAGGCTTTAACAATATCTTTAATCACCAAGAGCAAAAACTCATGGTAGGTTTCTTTGTTAATGAGAAACTGGCATTGGAACTTGTAATTACAGTGAGTTTCCAACAGGTAAAGATCATTAGATCTTGGAGGAAACAGCTTGTGAAGGATCAGTATTTGCACGCAGGGAGGTGTAGCACTTTTATCAGAACATACTTCTTACAGGGCCAGCTACCCTTTTGTCTCTTCCTCTCCTCTCACCTTCCTACCAGGAAAAATTTCATACCGTTGGCCTGTGCCATATCTGTATTTCTCTGTCTCTGCCATGCTGTACTTTCATTTGAAGGATTTCAAAGCACAGTCTCTGTATTTCTTAGGCCTTTCCTTTAACAAGGGACAATGGTTGACCCACAGGCTCTCCCAAAAGCTGTCCTATGGCAAAACTGGAAGTCAGAACCCAGCTTTTCCTTTGTCCTTTTTCCATGAATGAAGCTGAAAGTGTCTTCTGCTCCCACCAGAGACGGCAAATGAGAATCCCTCTTTTTGTATGCTGCAGATCATAGAATAATTTAGGTCGTAAAGGATGTCGTCAGCTTTCTGGCCCAACTGGCAGGGTTAACTGCAATCTCAGATCAGGTTGCTGAGATCCAAGTAAGATTTCTAATTTCTAATTAATTTCTAATTTCTAATTTCTAATTAGATTTCTCTGCTGTCCTATGCACAGGGGGCATTATACATAGCTGTCCTGGACTTGGAAAGTAACAAGCCTAAAGCAGTTGCACTGCTAGCTATCATGTCACGACCTGTTATTTGCCATGACACCTGTGCTGTGATGTGTCTAGCAAACACAGATTTTCCCACCGAAGATTGATTTTGATGGTAGCAGTTGTATTTGTGTATAACATCATTGTTCAGTCGTGCAATTCATGATTCAAAACATGCAGTTGCTAGAGGAACAGCACTCTGCTTATTAAGGCTGTCACACTGAAACTGCTCAATTATCACAACTGTTTTAACATGTTTTACATCTTTTTTTTTTTTTCCCTGTTTATTGCAACCAATATGATGTAGTCATTGTACTCAGTCTTATATTTCCTTGCCTGTTTGTCCTCATGTGTCCGATTCAGCGCCTTTTGTCTCAGCGTCCCAGAAACAACCAACCTAGTTCTTGAAGAAAATCCCCTCTCAATCCTAACATCCTCCCTTCTAAGGACTGGGTATGAATTTTGCAGCCCTACTAGCATTAATAGCTTGTATTACATTTTGCGAAGTCTCACCTTGTGCTGTGGCCTCTGCAATGAC